GATGCCCTTAGTGTTTTTGAACAGGCCCAGATATCTAGCCGAGGCAGCCTGTCCAGCCTAATTTCATTTCGATTCTCAGGCCCAGACCAGGCACATATTTCCCCCGCATAGAGCCCAGGTGACCAACCAAACAGGCCCACCCACCGCCGCTCCCGATTACTTCAGCCGCCGGCCGCCGCCACCGCCGCCATCCTCGGCTAGAGCTTCTCCGTCCCGTACCCCTGCAGACCGCGATCTCCGCCTGAACCACCGGCCGGGACTGCTGCTCCGCTTGCTCTCCCCCGTCGGAGATCCGCCCGGAGCGACTTTCGTCTTTCTGGGTAAACCCTAGCCTCAATCGATTCTTGCTTTTCTTTCGTTCGTGCTGCGAAAAATCCAGGCTTTTCGAGGGATTCCGTGCGCCTCTTACGGAGTCTGCTGTTGCCGTGGACGTTTGTGTCGGTGTGACTGCGTCGGAAATTCGCGGGCGCATTCGCCGCTGGCTGTATGCTCGGGATCTCGGAGCTCGTAGGATTCTCATTTGGAGCGTAGAGCTGGGCGCCGGATCCCTTTGTTTATTATTTATTTATTTTGAGATGCGCCAGAGAACTACTTGATCTTGCTGCCCGGGATGGTGCTGCCCATTGCTTTGTGCTTTTTTTGGCGGTGTAGATTTCTGCTTCTGTGACTGTCTCATACGCCCAATCTTTTGCGCCAAACATTTTCCTAAACCGTAGTGTGGTTTGTCGAGAATACAAATGAAATATGTCGGATAAGAGTTTGGACGCCATCCATGAGCTAGCTATGCCCAAAGGAGCCACCTGCAAAGATTTAATTTAGTTTTGTCGCTCTCCATGCTGTTTCAGGTTGTTCCGAAGCTGCAGAAGCCCAAACCCGGAAACAGAGTAGACGGCGCCGCATCTATATTTGCACTCCCACGCTTAAAGCCGAGGCGGCGGAGGAAGCTGTGACAGCCATGGCGTCGTCGTTGGCAACGGCACCGGCTGCTGTACGCGATATGCAGTGCGACCTCGAGTCCCAGGCCAACGCCCTCAGCAAGATCCAGAAAGGCACGTGCGCTTTCCCGGCCCGCAAATCCCTTGAGAGTGAGAGAGGAACCCGTCCCTCCCTGCTTGCAACCCTAACTCTATCTCTTCTGCTCCCCTTGCAGACATCTCCAAGAATCACGAGGTCCGCAAGCAGTTCACCATCCAGGTCGGCGAGAATGAACTCGTCCTCAAGGCATGAACGCACGCTTCCTTGGTTCAACTCTGTTCTGATTGGTGATTTGCGTGAGTACCTGGTTTGATCTAGTTTGGCTTTGTGCGTAGGAGCTGGAGCTGCTGAATGAAGGGGCGAACGTGTACAAGCTGATCGGGCCAGTGTTGGTCAAGCAGGACAATGCGGAGGCGAAGGCCAACATCAAAAAGCGCATCGAGTACATCACAGCTGAGCTGTGAGTGGCTATGAGCTGATCTGTATCGGTTTTGAATTGTGTTGATGCTGTGATGAAGGTGTGGAATTACTTTCTTTGCAGAATGAGAATGGATCGGGCGCTTAAGGACTTGGAGGAGAAACAGAATAGCAAGAAGGAATCGGTATGTTACTGTTTTCTTGTCAATTTTGTTTGGGCTACTTGACCACATAAGGAAAACCATTAGAAGATGATATGTGGAACTTACCTAGATTAATTTTTGGTATGTGAAAACTGTTTGGACTTGTTTGGAGTGCAGGAGCGACTTTAATTGTCTTGGTAAACCAGATGTTCTGTCATCTCTGTGATATTTTTGAACAACGTAGTTATGGTTTCCTTGAATTTATAGAGCTGCACAATGCTAACATGCGTGGCACTTTCTGAACTTTGTCTGTATAGTGCATTATAGTTTGAAAAAAAGTAAGTTGAGCTGGATACAGTGACACTGATGGAAGTTGAAAAATGACTGACGTTGTCCTAGAAAAATGATAATGAGGTGATTTAATAAAGGGGGAAACTACAGAAAACCTATGGTCCTGAGTGGAGAAGAAATTAAGACAGGATTAAAATAATTCCAGCATCAGTACTAATTAAGACTTATGAGAGGATTCAGTGCATGAGAGAGAACGGAATGGTGTGATAAAAACGTGGTAGTACTTGTATATATGTACTGTGAGCTCATGCTACCTTGTTTCCTTATCTCATTATCTGTTTTTAAACTTAATCCGGCTAGTTAGGATTATTTGGCAGTAGCCATCACATGACCAAATATCTGCAACATAAGGTGACATCAATTTTGCACTCCTTCAATTGTCAAGCTTTCCTGACTGTTATCCACAGCTTGTCAGAACCATTCCGGTGGCAGTTCCGGTTTGACTCTTGGTATATAGAATGATTTGGTAACAGGCTAATCCAGTGCGCTATTCCAGGGGATAAATAATCAAATTTGTACATAAAACAACAAGGTTCTGGTTCCCTGGCTTGAATTCAACTCGGAAACCAAACCCAAGTAGCTTGCTGGCCCAGTGATGCTGTGGTATCTTAGACAAACGCTGATCAAGCAAAAATTTCAAACGATAATGGTCTATATGCACCACAAACGTGCGCCCCCATGGTACGGTCGCCAGTACTGCACAACATGTACAAGGCCGATGAGCTCCCTCTCATAGGCTGCTAGTTTGGCATGTTGCCAGAGGCCCTGAACCTTGATGCAAAATAGCCCCGAACCCGCTGCCCAACGTATCGCATTCCACCACAAAGTTGAGGGCCAAATCAGGGAGGTGCAGAACAGGCGCTGTGGTGAGAGTGGTCTTCAAGGAAGCAAAGGCTGTGGCGGCCTTAGTTGTCCGTACAAATGCTTCCTTCCGGAGGAGCTTGGTGAGGGGTGCAGCGATGGTGGCATGGTGCCAAAGTCACGGTTGAATTTACGATGGTAGCCAGCTAATCCTAAGAAGCCAGACACTGCCTGTACAGACTTGGGTGCTAGCCAATGAGCTACAGCCTGAACCTTTTGTTGATTTATAGCCACACCCTTGGATGAAATCACGTGCCCGAGATATGTGACAGTGGTCTCGCCGGAAGAGCACTTAGAGCGCTTGATGAAGAGGTGGCGTTGATGCAGTGTGAGGAGGACCATACAAACATGTCGGAGTTGTTCTGACAGGTGCGGTGTAGGATGGAACAGCTACTTCCTATTCATGTGAGCAGTAAATGGAGAAAAGCTGTGTGGAGGCGATAGATCCTGAAAATGCAAATCGCGTTTTCCTATTTTACTCATCCAAATTGCATATACTTGCCTTAACAGAAAGCCTAACAAGAACTAACCAAAACTGGTTTCCTAAAAATCCTCCAAAAACCCGTTTTCCAAAATCCCACATCTAATTATCAGTATCCAAACAAACCACTTTGGTCCTTTTTGATTCACATTAATCCAAGAACGCGGGAATATGAAAAATCTAGGAATCAGACGGCATAACATGTTGAAGCATATTATATATGCCTGTTGGTTACTGGAAACACATGAATACGAAATAGGAGTTTTATTTGAAAGGTTAGGTGTGTGCCATATTTGTCACGGAAACAAAGAAAAGTTTCTATGAGGTTGGATCTAACAGAAATATTCCTTTGGAATTGCACACAAAGTAGTCCCAAGATTTTATGGGTTCTAATCTTATAAATCAAATAAGCTTTGAATTAGGAAAAAAAAATATGGTTTTGAATAAAAGAGGCCCTTAAATTCTACCTCCATGATGGTCATCCTCGTCACGACCATTCACTACTGTACCATTAAATTAACTACCCGCAATACTGTATGACTGTATTCAGTTACCTCTGCAATGCTCGGAAGAATTGTCCAATTTCTTTTTGTTAATGTAATTTTTGCCAAGCAGATAATCAAGCTGCAACAGAAGATGCAGGCTGTACAAGCAAAGGCGCAGGCGTAAATGAAGGGCTCCCTGCATTAGGGCCTTCGTCCTCCCAAATGTATGGGTCTGTACAAGGCGAAGTTAGTTGCCTTGTGTTATCTATCCCCTAAAAAGGTGAAAGAAATCTGTAGTGTTCAGAGATTGAGAGAAGTTCCAGGTTTGTGTAGTGAGAGATTTTGTTTGAGAGTGGATACTCGGTTGAAGATGTACCTCTTGCTGGTTTCTAGTGATATGGTTGAATTGACTTTTGTTTCGAGAAGGAATTGGATCAATTTTTTCATGTACCACTTTATTTCTTCTATCTTTGCTTATGTTGATTAATAGATTCATTTTTGGCAATGGTGTTGGGAAGTTTTTTATTTTGTGTGGGAGACCTTGATATTTGAGTATGTCAATTCTTGCTGGTTATCATAATCTTGGAGCTAATTCTGTCTGACATCTTGGAGCGCCGTGTGGGCTGGTCTGTTGCGTTTTATAATAACATGATGAATCCAATGGTATTTCCAATGGTATTGATTTGATGGTGTATATGTTAATATATTTGTCTATAAACTTGTGTGTGTTGGGGTGGGGGAGTCGCATAATTGATTGAGGAAAGTAGCCGAATGTTCGTGTTAGACCTGATTGATATTGAACCATCAGAATAAGTATGCCTCCGTTGCAACAGGCAAGCACTTAACTAGTTGAATCAATATTCGTTTTCTTTAGCTTGTACCGACAATTTTTGGGATTTGAAGGGGTATTAAGGATTGGTCGGAGTGATTCACTGTATAAAATTAAAAACATTGGTTTTCTGGGAGTAAAGATTTTCTTGGGAAGTACTACCCCTGTACACTAATATAAGGCGTTCTTGCAGTTCAATTTAAACTGCAAAAACGTCTAACAATAGTGTACAGGGGAGTATTAGAGTTGCCTGTAGTCTGGAAAAAATGGGAAACTAAAGCGGCAGCCGGAACGCAAGGTAGGAAAAATAAGTGAAAAAAAAACTACAGCTCCTCATCAAAATGAGCTAGCGTGGCATGATATCAAGTTAGTGTACATCATACAGCTCCTAGCACAAGCCACACAAGAGCCCTTACAGAAAAGATAACAAAATTGTCACCCCCAGAGTGTTTTCATCACTACACGTACTTGCCCCTGTACTTCGGCTTGGAATCTTTATCAAATTTGGGCTTCCCATCATGCTCCGCGGGGCTGAACACGGCAGAGTGCAGGTTGCCCTCCTCCATCCATTTCTGGTGCTTCTCCCTGAACTCCTGGTGCCGCTCCTCGCCGATCCTCTCGACCTCGTCTGTGTAGGGGCCGACCTTCACCATCGTCAGCAGAACCCGGCTGTACCGCAGGCTTAGGATCTGCTCGCAGGAGGAGAACAGCTTGAAGCAGGGGTGCTCCGGGAATTTTGCCACGTCGGCAACATCATCCTCCCGCAAGACAGGATAGAAGAAGACGAGCCTGCCACCAATCACCAGCATTCTCGCTGCAAGGAGGAGAAGGTCGTGAACGCATTCTGCAAGACTGTATGGCGCGGTTGATGGAATATGGTTCTCTCTCTTGTCGTCCGGAACTATGTACGGAGGGATGATGCCTTTTAGGAGCTTCCGACCGCCCGACTTTCGCCCACCAGCTCGGACACCATATGGGGGGTCGCAAATGATTGCATCAAATATCTGGTGACAAAAGCAGCAGCAGTTTATCATTTCTTGTGACCAAGATAATAGAATAAGACTGTATCCAAGGGGTAGCGGGCAACTTGCACAGAAGATAACCTCCTAAAAATAGCATCCAAGGAAAGATGCAATGTTCAGTTGTAGACCACAATGCAATGTTTTTATTTTTGCGTGGCCCACAATGCAATGTTAACATAGTACATTTGTTCTATCACATAATAGTCTAAAGGTTGATATATCACACAGTAGTTTATACATTATATGCTCCAAGTACTGCTTTCAAGGAGTATTAAGCAAATATAGCCATGAATTATTTTCTCATGGGACTAACAAACAAACATTTCATGGTGAATTTGTTTCAGAGATGGCTATACCAACCACATGAAGGTCATACAAGCATTCAACTATGTGACCGAGTATCATGTCATGTGCGTCCATGCAAGATTTCAAGCACAACTACAACATTCGGTGGCATTAATTTGCGCAAAAGGGTCAGTTGCTGATACTTTTCTTCATTTCCAATCGGTCACCAATGAACAATTCCAAAGCTGCGATAGTAATGCACTGAAATATTGCATAAACAACAGAAAATGCAGGATAGTACCTCCTTCAATCCTGGACGCCAAGGTGGCAGGTTGTTATCTGCTCGTAGCACACACAAAGGCTCTGGCAACTTGTACTGAATAAGATAACATGGTCAACACATTACATGAAACATAGGTATCCACCAACTCACGGACTAAATAAGATGTCACTACTTCAAGATACTAATAATGATTATTCAGATGAGACTCATGGCAGCCATGCAAGAAGCTTCTCTGAACAAAAATTACCTGCTCAAAGTTGCTCCAAATATTGCAATCGGGGCCACGACCATCCCGCACAACTCTTATATCAATATCTGCACCCTGAAAGAACTTAATAAGCATGACATTGCCTAACAAAAAGGAGAGCGGTGTATTTATTTCTGCGATAAGCACAAACCATAGTCATGGCTCCAAAATGTGCAGCAGCCACTAAAATGCTCCCGGTGCCAACAAAAGGGTCATACACAAGTTTCCCAGGCTGTGCGAGCCCTTGGTTGGCCATGAGAAAGGCCATTTCACAATCCATCGCAGTTGGGCCAATGTACTTCCTGCTCTTCAACTCATATGTCGGCACTACATGCCTATCTGCTGCTCCAACCAGCCGGCCAAAGAATACCGTCTTCTGAGCAACTGGTGGCAGGCCATTTTGTGGCCCATAATCATCAGTCTCCAAGACAAAGAACTTGTGATCGGGCTTCTTCAAATTAACACGGCCCTAAACAAGAGGAACAGCACCGATTATATAAAGGAAATAACAATTGGCATTCACAAATGCCTTGGAACTAATAGCACAAGGTAGAAAAATTGTGGCACAGTGGCAGCAACCTCGAATGGAATGTAGGTGAACCTCTTTATAATCGCATTCTGTTCTTCGAAGCTGACCGCCTTGCCGAAGCTGTCGACGATAATCTTGAACGAGCTTTCCGGCGTCAGGTACGGCAGCTTCCTTTCGTCCGGGTACGCCCGTATCGCCTTCTCCAGTTCGTCGTAGGTGGCACCCTGCCCCCACAGCTCATAGATCCCCTTCACGAGCAGGCCTGGCACACGCAGTGTCCGGGATAAACGCGAGAAGCTAGGCAGCGGCGCATATCATGCAGGTTACGGGCATGGTACCAGAAATCAATAAACGATGACGAGGGCAGCTCGCTTACTGCGGTTGGCGATCTGCGCGGCAAGACGCTCGTCGCCGGGGAGGCGGACGAGGTGGAAGGGGGAGTCTTCGTGGTGATTCTCGGGCATACGCCACTCTACAGCGGCCCCGCCGCCGGGGCCGCCGAAGAGCTCGGCGAGCGACTGCACCTCCGGCCGCCGGTAGTCGAGGAGCCTGTGGTAGAAGACGCAAAGGTACCACATCTCTCCCACTCTGTTTTCTGCGTGGCTCCGGCAGGTCGACGACGGCGGAGGGGGTGGCGTCTCCGGCGGCGGCGGGTGGAGGGAATCGAAAGCTGCGTGCGGGAAGGAAAGATTGAAGAGAAAACCTACGTAGACCACAGCGCACAGTGGGCTTATCGACTCTACGGCCCAGACTGTAATTGAACTGCGCCCGCACTGCCAACAGCCCAGAATTTTTTTTCCCAGAGTAACTTTATAGAAGAGAGAAAACAATGTACAAGAGTTTGTGGTGCATAGCCAAAGGTCACAAGCCGACCGAGGCCACGTTACAACTCCAACTTCACACACTACGTTAACTCCTCACAAAATGGTGTCGACTCCATGCCCTCTCGCTCTCGCCCAAGTGCGAAGTTCATCAAGAATCCTGTTCACAAGATCAGCCACCAAGATGGGTGTAGCCACCAAGCGGAAAACCCGTTCATTCCTTTGCTTCCAAAGGTGCCAACACACTAGCATCACCAAGCTATCAAAAGCCTTACGTGTCTCCTTATCAAGCCGATTTCTGGTACTACCCCACCATGACTCCAGAGTATCGCTCACCATCGGTGCTAGGGCAGGGGTAGTCCTCGTGTTGGAAAGAATGTTGTGCCATACTTGGCGTGAGTAGATGCACTGGATCATAAGATGATCAACGTTATCCTCCTCCTGGCCACAAAGATAACATGGTGAGGGGTTATCTTGTAGCCCATGCCGCAGCCTTCTATCGGATGTCCATATTCTATGTTGCATAGCGAGCCACATGAAAATCTTGTAGGTGAGAGGTGCCCAACACTTCCAAATCCAATGCGCATAGGTCACACTGATCGCACCCTTGAAGAGCATTTGACACGCGGAGGCTGAAGTGTACACCTACTTGGAGTTCCAGGGCCAAACAGCCTCATCCTGCTCGGTGGGAATAAGCTGCGTTGTAATAGCAATCTCCCAAAGGCTGATCAATTGAACTAGCTCGTCCGTGGAGAGCTCACCGGAGATGTCTGTGGCCCAGCGGTGGTTGAGAAATCCATCATGCACTGTCCGCTTGTTCACAGTTTGTGTACGTACTTTGCCTCAAATGCTCGGGGCAATCTCCCTGGCTGTCGCACCTCTCATCCATCTGTCTTTCCAAAACAACACCATGCGACCGTCCCCAAGTTTCCAATGAACCAAGCTGTCAAAGGCCGACTGGACTCGCGGGTCCATGACCATCGAGAGACCATGCCACGATCTGCCTGGATCCGTGCGTCTAAGTCATTCCCAACGCAATCTTAAAGCCAAGCCTTGGCGGTTTAGGTCGAGAAGGCCAAGGCCACCTAGCTCCTTTGGCATGCACACTCTTTGCCAGGCAACAAGACACTTCCCTCCGTGAATTTCCTCTGATCCGTCCCGAAAGAACGCTCTGCAACACTTGTTCACTTGCTCGATAGCCCACTTGGGGGCATCCGAAACGATAAGATGGTGGGTGGGGCGTGCCATCACCACATCATGAACAAGCACCAGCCTTCCAGCTCTAGTGATTAACCCTTTCTGCCATCCAGGCATGAAATTAAGTACGTTGTCCACTATCGGTTGCCATTCAGAGCGCGCCAGCTGCTAGATGGAGAGTTGCAGCCCCAAGTACTTACAGGGAAAAGACTCAATGCTCCACGACATTGCACGCTGAACTAAATCCTTATCTCCATCCTCGCCTCTGATCAAAATGGCCATGGATTTTGTGTAATTGATGTGCAGTCCAGATGCGGTCCCGAAGATGTGCAGGGCCTCTTTAACAAACCTAAGATCCGAGACTGTGGGTCTGACGAATAATACGACATCGTCCGCATATATAGAGAGCCGTTGCATGGGTGTGCAGCCCGGCATTCTACTCAACACACCACACTCCTAGGCTTTAGTGATGAGGGATGTGAGGACGTCCATCGCGATAACAAACAAAAGTGGCGAGACCGGGTCTCCCTGCCATAGCCCTTGAGCATGTGCGAATTTATGTCCCGCGTGACCATTAACCACCACTCGAGAAGAGGCCGTGGAGAGTAAAGTCGCTATCCATGATAGCCAAGTATCCGAGAATCCTTTGGCTCAAAGGAACTCAAAAAGGAATGGCCAAGACAGGGTGTCAAACGCACGCGAGATGTCTAACTTTAGCATGACTCCCTTTGCTTTTCTTCGATGGAGTGAGCGAGCCACCTGTCTGACGAGCATGAAATTGTCGTGAAGGTTCCTCCCCTTGATGAGCGCCGATTGATTTGCTTGGACGAGCTCATTCATACGCGGCCGTAGTCTGTCAGCGAGAAGCTTGGAGCCTATCTTGGGCAGGCTGTAGACTAGGTTAATGGGTCGAAAGTCTCCCACACGGCACACACCGACCTTTTTGGGAATGAGAGTGATAAGAGCCTGATTTAGCCTTCCAAACCCGCGACCATTACCGAGAAACAGATGGTGGAGGGCTGCCAACAAGTCGCCTTTGATGATACTCCAGGCTTTTTGGAAGAAGAGACCAATGAAACCGTCCAGCCATGGTGCGCGATCCGCATGCATCTCCTTAACCGTGGCCCACACCTCATCCTCCGTAAACAACACGTCCTGGTCCATCAAATTTACACGTGGGATCTCGAGGAAGTCCAGGTCGATCATGTTCTCCTGCGCTCTCGTCGTGCCCAGCAAGTCTTTGTATGTTTGGAAGAAGATTTGTTCTTTGCCAAGCTGGTCCGTGATCGTATTGCCATCATGCAATATAGCCGGGATAAAGTTTTTCGTCTTCCTTCCATTTGCCACGAGGTGAAACAGTTTGGTACTGGCATCGCCCTCCTGCAACCACCTTATGCACGACCTTTGCCTAGCGATCATGCGCTCAAGTGAGGTCAGGCCTAATGCCACAAGCTTAAGCGATCGGCGCGGCCACCTCTCCCCATCCGAGAGCAAACGCCTTTCCTGCGCCATGTCAAGCTAGAAAATGATCCAGTTAGCCATCGCAATTTGTAACTTGACGTTGCCAATCCTCTTCTGTCCCCAGGCAGTTAGATGCCGAGTTGCGTTCCTGAGGAGTGCGTCAAGCCGTTTGAACGGATCATGAATGTTGGGGTCACAGACCCAAGCCTCCCTTAACGCATCTTCAAAACCATCAAGTCTAGCCCAAAAAATGTCAAATCGAAAGTGCCGCTGCGGGTGTATGTCACTAGTAGAAAAAGGGTCAAACGTGAAGCACATTAGTGCCGGTTTGTATTTGAGACGGCACTAATGTATACATTAGTGCCGGTTCCAACGGCTAGCCGGGCCGCTTTCATTAGTACCGGTTCATGGCGAACCTTTAGCACCGGTTCGTGCCACGAACTGGTACTAATGAGAGTGGTGGCAGGATGTTGTCAGACTGGGGCCCCTCCAGCCCCTTTAGTACCGGTTCTTGGCACGAACCGGTACTAAAGGTCGTCCTACATAAACCCTTCGTCCACCCGAGCTCGCTCTGTTCTTCCCCTTTCCCCTCTCCTCTTTGTTCTTCCCCTCTTCCTCTCGAGCTCATCACACATTTTGCCCAAAATTTGTCAAGATTTGAAGGCCCCCATCCATTCAAATGATCACAAATGTTAGCAACTTTGTCCTTTCATCTCTCATTGCTAGATTAGCTCTTGCAATGCTTTATATAGTGATTAATTTGTGAGTTTAGTAATTTGGGAGGATATATATATATGTGCTAGTATTTGATTTATATGCAATTTGAGGTCAAAAATCACACTTAGTTTGCATATGTAGGTGTGTTTTACTTAATGCCTTCTAAATCTCCGTCGTAACCACCATCGATCGCCCGCACCGTTCCGTCGCCGGCACCACCTTGTGGTGAGCCTCTTGTTCATGAAATTTTATATAAAAATTGATGTTTGTGTGATTTGGATATATAGTTACTCGTATAATTATCTTACCCGTACGTTGTTTGTTATACATATAGTGCCATGGTTTTGATATCCGTCCCCGTCGGCCCTCGTCCTTGTTATGATTCGGATGTGGTATATATATTCTCTTTTAAAACTAGTTGCATTTCATGTTTATGACAAATTATGCCCATCAAGTTGACATAGAAATTTTTTCTAGGAGGTATGTGAACCGGAAATTCCAACTAACCCTATTGTCGAGAGGTTAAATTTAGTTGAAAGAGAAAATGAGTACTTGAAAGAAAAATTGAAAAGAATTGAGGGGGAGAAGATGGAATTGGAGTTGCATGTTGCCGATGTCGTCGATGATCACAAGATCAAGATGGAGAAAATGTGCTTGAAGATTAGAAAGATTAGAAAATATGCCATCGATAGTGAGGCTTGGTATCATTATGCTGTTGGATCCATTGTTACCTTAGTTGCGATCTTGATCGTATTTGTTGTTGCATTTAAATGCTTTAGCTAGAGAGTTATTTGTTTGTTGCGTTTAAGTGTTGTATGAACTTTATGTATGAACTTGTATTAATTTGATCTATTCGGTGTTGTGTAATGAAGATGAGCCGGCAATGGATGTATGATGACCGATGCTCTCCCCAGTTCGTTGAGGGCGTGCATACTTTTCTGCTTGCGGCTGAGGCAAACAAGCGGGCGGATGGTTTTATGCCTTGTCCATGTGCTCGCTGTAAGAATGGTCACAATTACTCTACGTCAAGAACCATTCACGTCCACCTGTTTAAGTCCGGTTTCATGCCCCACTATAATGTTTGGACCAAGCACGGAGAATGAGGGGTTATGATGGAAGACAATGAAGAAGAAGAGGACGATGACAGCTATCCTGGCCATGGGTTCCCTGAATACGATGATACAACAATGGGGGAAGAAGCTGAGCCGGTAATGCGGGAAGAAGCTGAGCCGGCAATGCGGGAAGAAGCTGAAGAAGAGGCATCAGATGAGCCCGTTGATGATCTAGGTCGGGCCATTGCCGATGCAAAGAGAAACTGCGCAAGTGATTTGGAGAAGAAGAAGTTGCAGCGCATGTTATAGGATCACAAAAAATTGTTGTAC